AAGGATAAAGTTAAGCAATTGTTAAATTCTTTAAAAACTCTTTCAATGCCTGACTGGTGGGTACTACAAAATGAATTTTTCAGAAAGTTTTGCCTATACCCTGCAATAATGCACTGAAAAGGTAAATCATGAATTTTTCGATCAAAGAAGAAGAAACCTTTATACCAAAGTTGGGAGAGATTCAAGGATCTGCTCCAGTCCTATCCACACCAAGCTTTTGAGAATTGGACTTTGATAGAATTTTTCTATGACTCCTTGCCCACTAGACTACGTCAGTTTGTCGAAATGATGGCTCAAGGAGAATTTTTGAGCAAGAGTTTGGAGGAGGCATTCAATTTTTGTGACACCATATCTGACGGTTCTCAGATATGGGACTCAGCCTCCCCTACCATTGTTGAAGTCAAATCATCTACGTCCTAAGGGGGTAAGTATGTCTTAAGAGATGATGATGACCTAAGAGCAAAAATGTTCACCCTATCTCGAAAGCTTAAAGCTTTAGAGATGAAAAAGGTTCATCAAGTTGATGTTGGCTCTCCCACAGAACAAGTGTGTGGGATTTGTGCACTAACAGGACACCCTACTGGGGAGTGTCCAACCATTTTGGCATTCAAAGAAATTTTGTTGGAACAAACAAATGTCGTTTCTAACTTCAACAAGCCTTACTCCAACCCATACTCTAAAACATACAATCTAGGGTGGCGGAACCACTCAAACTTCAATTGGAGAAACACACAACCAACTCCTATGAACCAACAACAAGGTTCCCACCCACCACCTCAAGAACCTCCCACATATCAACCATACCAACCACCACAAAAAAGGAGCCTTGAGGATACCTTGAATCAATTTATGCACAGCCAAATGAACTATAACAATAGTTCCACTTAAGCTTTTACTGAATTCTAAACCCAGACCACTCAATCTTTCGAGAATCTTAAAAGCCACATCCAAAGATTGACCCAATCCATGACCACACATGAGAAGGGCAAGTTTCTTACCCAACCAAAACCACCACAAGGCCAATTCTAGGTGAAAAATTTTGCAATCATGGAAACTCCACAAGACCAAGCCCGAGTTATCACTACACTGAAAAGTGGCAAGGTGATGGACAAGACCATTAGAGACATGCTAATTCCCAAGCCAAAACCTAAGTCAACTCACCAGTTGAACCTGAACCAAAAGAGCCTAAACTTGTAATTGAGGAGGAGCCTGAACTTGTGATTGAACAAGAACTAGAACCATTAAAAGAACAGGGACCCTCATATCCTATTCCTGCTCCTTTTTCTCATAGACTCAAAACAGCACAGAAGTTGAATAATCAACCTGAAATTTATGAGCTTTTTAAGCAAGTGAAAATCAACATCCCACTTCTGGATGCAATCAAACAGGTTCCTTCTTATGCCAAAAAAGAGCTTTCTTGATAGAACATGTTAGTGCCTTACTTCAACACAAAACTCCTCCAAAATACAAAGACCCTGGGTGTCCAACTGTGTCATGTGTTATTGAAAACTTTAGAATTGAACAAGCATTGTTAGACCTTGGAGCAAGTGTCAATTTGCTCCCATTTTCTATTTACCAGCAGTTAGGACTGGGAGAATTCAAACCTACCAGTGTTACACTCCATTTGGCAGACAAATCTGTCAAAGTCCCTAGGGGCATTGTTGAATATGTACTTGTCCAAGTGGACAACTTTGTTTTCCCTATTGACTTCATCGTGCTAGATACCCAGCCAGCAAAGCATTCAGAGAACCCAATTTCCGTCATTCTTGGTCGACCCTTACTAGCAACTTCAAATGCACTAATCAATTGCAGGAATGGGGTCATGAAATTGACCTTTGGGAATATGACTCTTGAGCTGAATATTTTCAATGTTGCCAAACACCGAGGAGAAGACAAAGAAGAGAGAGAGATAAATTTTATTAAGTCGTTGGTTCAGGAACATCTGAATAACACATTCTATGAAAACCTCATTGAATCTTCTCAGTCAAAATCTATCACATTTGAGACAACAGATGATGGACCCCTAAATTTGAGAAACTTTCATCAAGTGGCACAAAGTCACTCTCATCAAATGTCAGGTCACCAAAGCCTGAATTGAAACCCCTCCTATCTAACCTTAAATATGCATTCCTAAGATAGGACGAGTCATGCTCAGTGGTAATTTCATCTAAACTCACAGACTTGCAAGAGTCTAAACTAATTGAAGTTCTTAAAAGTCATAAAAATACCATTAGGTGGACCATCGTTGACTTGAAAGGTATAAGCCCGTTAATCTGCAATCATGCTATATACCTGGAAGAGGATTCAAAACCCTCTCGTCAAATGCAGCGACGACTAAACCCTCACATGAAGGAAGTTGTGAGAATGGAAGTGCTTAAACTCTTAGATGCAGGGATAATCTTTTTCATCTCTAATAGCAAATGGGGTAGTCTAACTCAAGTTGTGCCCAAAAAGTCTGGGGTCACAGTGGTCAAGAATAAAGTCAATGAACTAGTACCAACTAGAGTTGTCATAGGATGGCGGATGTGTATTAACTATCGAAAACTCAATTTGGTGATTAGGAAAGACCATTTCCCTCTTTCCTTTCTTGACCAGGTTTTAGAAAGAATTGTAGGCCATGAATTTTACTATTTTCTAGATAGGTATTTCGAGTACAATCAAGATGATTTATCTGTCTATGATGACTCATTAGATTCATGTCTGACCAACCTAAAGAAGGTATTGGTAAGATGTCTGGAGGCCAATCTAGTATTTAATTGAAAAAAATGTCATTTCATGGTAATACAAGGCATTGTCTTATGTCACATTGTGTCATCTGAGGGCATGAAAGTTGACAAGGCAAAAATAGATCTAATTGAAAACTTGTCTGCTCCCAAGACTGTAAAGGATGTTCGATCATTCCTAGGACATGCAGGCTTTTACAGGAAATTCATAAAAGATTTCAGTACCATAACAAAACCCAGTGTCATCTTCTGAGTCAGGACGTAATTTTTGTGTGAAGTGAAGCATGCCAAAAAACTTTTGATAAGCTTAAAGGCATGTTAATTTCTGCCCCAATAATGCAGCCCCCTGACTGGACTCTACCTTTTGAACTAATGTGTGATGCAAGTGATTATGCTATAGGTGATGTGTTGGAGCAAAGAAAGAATAAGAAACCACATGTGATTTACTATGCAAGCAAAACTTTGAATGATGCTCAAATAAATTGTTCAACAACTAAAAAAGAATTGTTTGCTGTAGTTTTTGCTTTGAAATAATTTCACTCCTATCTTGTTGGTTCTACCATTTGAGCAATGGAGCATTGATGTAGTAGATCCTCTATCAATCAACAAAGAACTAAATAGGTTTGCAACAGTTGCTATTGATTATTTTACCAAAAATAGAGGTAGAACCATTAGCCACTATCACTCAACACAAGCTTAGAGGTTTCATATGAAAACCAATAATACGTCGCTTTGAAATACCCAGAGTTCTCATAACCAACAATAGGAAACAGTTTAATAATGATGTCCTCAAAAAGTTCTACTTTGACTTAGGGATTCAGAATCATTACTCATTCCTAATCCACCCTTAAGCTAATGGTCAGGCTATAAAGTCACCATTAGAACTCTATTGAAGGGATTTAAAACAAGTCTAGAAGCCTCAAAGGGACTGTGGGTAGAAGAGTGTCCCAATATCCTATGGGCCTATCGAACAATAATAATGTCTCAAACTAGGGAAACCCTATTCTCCTTAGCCTTTAGGACTAAAGCAGTGATCCCGGTTGAGATGGGACTAGAAACCCATAGAATCCAACATTTCACTGAATAAAAAAATGAGGAACAACTCAGGATCAATTTAGATTTATTAGAAGAAAGGGAGTAATTCCATAATAGGGTTATAACTTATCAAAATCAAACTACTAAGTATTACAACAAAAGAGTAAAGATTCAGAAATTCTAATCAAAGGAGTTAGTACTAAAGAAAGTGAGCCTAGCATCTAGGAATCCCAAACAGGAAAAGCCAAGCCCCCATTGGGAAGGTCCTTATTAGGTCATCCGAATGGTAAAGCTAGGGAAATATGCTTAAATGAATAAATATGCTTCTCTTTTTTTAATATTATAATTAAGGGTGTTAAAATATAAAACAACTCATTAATATGATAAAAAAATTATAGGGTTGAGTTTTTTTTAACTCACTAGTTTTATAAATGAGTAGATCCAACACAATACAATTAATAAATAAATTAGATATAAATAAAGTCACTCAAAAGAAATACACAATACAACTTTGTATATTATTATTTAAGATATATGCACAATATAAATTCGATATGATACAATTAATTAAACTTCTTTTTAGATATTGTGTTCAGGTATCTAAACCAACTGTTACATATCTTTGGCTTTAGGGTTAATTGCAAGTTACACTTTGAAATATAGTTCGAATCTTAATTTAAACTCTCAAAGATCAAAAATTTTAATTTGTACCCTCAATGATATAAATTTGTATCAACGTGCACCCCCAAAAATAAAAAATCTCAATTTGCACCCTCAAAAATAAAATTTGTGTCAATGTGCATCCTCAAAGATAAAAAATCTCAATTTGCATCCTCAAAAATAAAAATTTGTATCAAAGTGCACCTAAAACTAAATTTGATAAATTATACTTAGATTTTCTCATGTTTGTCACTTAATCATTTGGATCCCTTCACATTTAGAATATTATTGTTACATCTCATAACGTTTATGTACGTGTAACACGTAATCCCTTTTCGTTGATATCGATTAATATAACCGTTAAAAATATAATTTTATTTTAATAAAAAATTATAATTTCATATTACTCTTTATTTTGTGGGTCCGATATAATGTAAAATTTAAAATCAAACTTATCATTTAAATATTTAATAGAATATAAATATTTATAAAATATTATTTATATTCAATATAATATATGGCTCAATATACGATCCTTTATTCTAGTAGACACAAACAAATAATTCAAAATGACCTATGCATCTTCGACTGTTGACGTGACACTGATTGGCAGGATCTGCTGAAACAGAATACTTGTTCGTCTTCCACAGTTGTCTCTCTCTCTCCACCATAAGAAAGTTCTCTTTCTTTATTGATTGATTGAGTTTTGGTCTAGAAACGAATCGTTTCTTAATGGCTTCCCAAATTGCGAGACGCGTGCTTCGAAGCTACGCGAAGGATATCTTCTCTAACCCCAAGAATTCAGGAGCTAGGGTTTTCGATCGAAACTTCACTACAGCCGCGTCTGAATCCAATCTGATCCGAGCCACACTCTTCCCTGGCGATGGTATAGGTCCCGAAATCGCCAATTCCGTCAAACAGGTCCGTATCTTCGATCCGAATTTTACATGTGTATTATGGAGAACAAAGCATATATTTTGGCTATTGATTCCCTTTTTATATGCTTCATGTACCATTTGTTATTATAGCTTGTGAAATATGGTTTCTGAACTGATTAGCGCCTGAATTTTGTGTTTTAGGTGAATTGTTTCTTCTCGGAAATTTGTTCAGTGCAGTGATTAACTCTGAACGAAATTTTTTTAGAAGGATATGATCGCTTATATGGTCTAACCGAATACCCTTTATAATAGAGCGTAATTGAGAAACATGATTCATGGAGCCGACTCCAAATAGTTGAGATTAAGGCTTTGTTGAGTTTACTTGTACAATACTCTATTGTGAGCTTGAAAATGAAATTTAAAAAGGACTATTTCAAATTTTGTACATTCTATTGTTTTTTCTTGAAACTTTTGTACCGCCAAACTACTGCTTTTGTCTTTAGGCTAGCCCCTTTTTAAAGGTATTATTTTTAGCTGGCATCTGGGTTTACTTAGCTTGCTCAAAAGATTAAACAACAACAAAATATCAGTATGAAATTTCAGAATAGGCAGTTTTCATATTCTATTCGGGTGCGTAAAGTTGAATTTTGTCTTAATCTGTTTTGTCTGCAAGCACAGAAAGTATTTCTGCAATTCTTGTATTTTGTGCTATTTTGTGTTCTTATAATCAAAAATCTCACTCCATCTCCAATGGTTGGGGGTGCTTTTAACTTCTGTGCTCGTTTTCTTGATATCACTGACTTATGTAAGACTTGAAAATCCTTGATGCCTTTTCCTTACAATCTAGAGCAAGGATTACTGTGTGATTTTGGAGCTGGTGAAAGGATTGTGATTGCTTTGGAACTTTCATTCTGATGATACTTTTAAATTTCACTGAATTTTGTCATTTCTACGCATGCAGATATTTAGCTCTGCTGATGTGCCCATTGAATGGGAAGAACACTATGTTGGGCAGGAGATAGATCCTCGAACCCAGAGTTTTCTCACATGGGAAAGTCTAGAATCTGTTCGAAAAAACAAGGTTGGCTTAAAAGGACCAATGGCCACCCCAATTGGAAAAGGTCATCGTTCGTTAAACCTTACTTTGAGGAAAGAGCTAAATCTCTATGCCAATGTTAGACCTTGCTACAGTCTCCCTGGATACAAGACTAGGTATGATGATGTTAACCTCATCACCATCCGCGAAAACACAGAAGGAGAGTACAGTGGTCTTGAACATCAAGTAAGCTTGTTTGTATAATATGCAAATGCACACAAAATAATAGGCATTGCATATTAATTTGTTGGATTTCCTTGCATCTGATGCTAGGTGGTGAGGGGTGTTGTCGAAAGCCTCAAGATCATTACTCGTCAGGCAAGTTTGAGGGTGGCTGAGTATGCTTTTCACTATGCTAAGACACATGGAAGAGATAGAGTGTCAGCAATACACAAAGCTAACATCATGCAGAAAACCGATGGTCTTTTTCTTAAGGTCCTCATGTTCTAAGTGCATAAATTTTATGTGTTAGGGTGTTCTCCTTGTGCCTACCTGTACTAATTTTTTTTCTCTTCACTTCAGTGTTGTCGTGAGGTGGCAGAGAAGTTCCCTGAGATTAAATATGAGGAAGTTGTCATTGACAATTGTTGTATGATGGTATGAACATTTTCCTTTTACAAATGTTTGTATTGTGGGTGTGATTGTGAGCATGCACACACGTATCTGAACAATGTCCAAAACTAGTCGCACAAATCCGCATGTCACCATGCTTTTGGTATGTGATATCATTATGATGGAAATGAGAGTTTCTAACAAGATTTGTTACAGAGTGGCACTGAATCTACTTCAGAATAGGAAAGTAAGAGTCAAACTAAGAGTGTCTTTCCATGTACAGCTTGTGAAGAATCCAGCGCTCTTTGATGTATTGGTGATGCCTAACCTTTATGGTGACATTATCAGTGACCTTTGTGCTGGGTTAATTGGGGGATTGGGGTTAACACCAAGGTATCTGCTTATTTTTTTCCCTTCTCATGATCCATCTATGATTTATATTAGTTGTCTAAACTTATTTAACCTCCTGCACAGCTGCAATATTGGTGAGGGAGGTATTGCTCTTGCTGAAGCTGTACATGGCTCAGCACCTGATATTGCTGGAAAGGTTGATCATCAAAGCTGCTTCATTGCTTTTGCCTCCATTGTTATCAATTTGTCATGAGATATGGATTGACGTCTTCATGCTTGTACTTTAATCACTTGGGAAATTCTTTCTCGCACTTGGCTTTTGCATGAGTTTGAATTTTTTTTTGGCTAAATGTTTCACTTAATTGATTGTTATGATAACAAAAAGCTATTGTCCCTAACCTGGATTTCATTATAGTAAACATCATTGAATTTCATTGGTGTAGAAGAACTTCTCCATAACTTTAGGTCCTCTTGAGCTACATTTATGTCTGAACTTGCCATCTGGGGATATACAGAGAAGGCCATTATGTATTAGGAAGCCCTTTCCTACACGTAGGATGAAACTCAATTCAGCCGTCTTCCTTTTGGTCACTGCAGACAGAGATCAAGGAAATTTTAAAGATACTCAGGAAATGTCTTACATTTCTTTTACAAAACTGGGAAGCACAAAACATACTCTCAATGTCGAGTTGTTTTGTTGTTGATAGTTCTATTGGGAGCCCTCTGGTTTGGGGTGTCTTTTTGTGGTGCTTGAGGATGACCCTTGTTTTGTATCGGGTGATCGTAATTTAAAAAGTATCTAAATAGATACTTGTTGATAATTTGTCCTTACTTTTTTTTTGTTTTTCTAGTAGATCCAATGACCTAGTGGTTTTTTTGTTTTTCTAGTAGATCCAATGACCTAGTGGTAGAGGCACTAGTCAGCAATATGGAAGCAAGTTTCTAGCCAAAAAGTGATCTGTTTGGGAATTATATAAGATACTGTGTTTCGCTGAGGGACTTCTTGTCTTTAGTTCATCTAAATTTGATTGTTTAGCAAAGCTTTTTTTAATCGGACATCTGTGTGCTTATTATCTATCTTTGGTGTGGTTGAATTTATGTAGAATATGGCAAACCCCACTGCTTTGCTTTTGAGTGCTGTCACAATGCTGCGCCATCTGGAGCTTCATGATAAAGCTGATAGGATTCAGGATGCTATCCTCAAGACAATTGCAGAAGGGAAGTACCGAACTGCTGACCTTGGAGGCACCTCATCAACCACCGATTTTACTGAGGCAATCTGTGATCATCTCTAAAGAATGATCATAAAATTTGATTTTTGCAATAAGTTCAACTGCAAATTCTTCCTTGCGATGTTCATTTCGGAGATGCTTTAAACCTTTTGCAGTAGTTAACGGAGGGATTAAGACTACATCACCTTGATGATTCCATGAGATATGAGATATCCATGATTGTGTTCAAGTTAACAGGTTATAGGTGCGCTAATGAGTTCCATCCACTAGAAATAGACAATACATTCTATTTTCCAGGCTTAGATACTTGCCTTTGTGGAGAAATACGTGACTCCATTCCTGGACTCTTTGGAGCGAAGGATACGAATTTGTGGAAAGGGTTGCATTGATGAGCAGAGAAGTTTCTTTGCTCGACTTGCCCAAGTACTTTATGTGGTTGGTTATTCTTGTCTTTCCCCATATATACGAAATAAAAGCTGTGTGATGTGGTGTGTTTTTTTCTCATTTTAATTTATGAACTCTATGTTCTGTTCTTCCTATAACTTTCTCTATTTATAGCTACTTCATTACAGTGCGAATTGGACCCTGTGGGTAGATTGAACCTTTCTGCAGATACGCGGAGTGCTGTTGCTTCCTTCCTTTCTTGAGATATTGTTCAAGCATAATATGATCTGTGTCCCCTTCTGTTTCTCTATTATACTTTCCGCTTGACTTTGCTAATTGGAAACAACTCTTATGCTCCGTTTGATAGGAATGATGAAAAGTAGGAGGAATAGAAAGTAAAATGGATATATTTTCTATCCTCCAAGGAAGGAAACTATGAATTTTATATATAAATATATACTTCGTGGTTCATTTGGATGGGTTTAGATTTAGTAGGAATATCTGTCTCACTAAATCTTTTTGTGTATGGAAGTTTTACCATATGTTTCTTCTTATGCCAAAAAGCTGTAGGAAGGTTAGAACATACTTCTGCTTCCAATTTTAACCTAAATTGCTCAATCTTTTCAATTAAGATTGAGTTTGTTAATTGTTCTTGAATTCTCTTATGGTTAATTTCATATTTGAGAAATTTTACCTGTTGAGTTTTTTGATTGATTGCATTAAGATGCTGAGAGACTGAGTGATCTCTTAGTTGTCTTAATGTCTTAGTTTCTGGTTTACTAATAAAATTGAAAGTTACTGATTGACCAAATGGTTTAATGGTTACACCCTTAGTATCTGTTGTAAATGGGTACAACAAGTATACAAATGGTAATCTAAGGATGACTTCACTAGTCATATTTTGTACTATGACAAAAGATGTTTTGAAACATACATTGTCTTGACAAATATGAACATTTGACAATTTGTATTTAACTTTCATTTTACTTCCATTTGCCGAACTAAGTTTTTCAAGTGTTTTCTGATAATACTTAGTTGGTATTATTCCTTCTTGAATACAGTTAACATCTGCACCTGTATCAATAAGGGCAATAGTTTCAAGTTTAAAATCATTAATGATGATTTGTACTTGAGAATACCATTTTTGAAAACTAATCTTGTTAACCAGATTAATTCTATAACTATCATTAGTTTGTGAACACCCATCATGAGATGGTAGCTTCGTTACACCTGAATTTTCCACTAGAGAGGTGGAGGTTACAGGTATCCGCTGTAATTGTGTTCCATCCTGAGATTCTGTCTCAGATTGATCATTAACTAATGGCTGTTTTTCAGGATTAAAATCCTTTGTAGCGCCAAAGCTATCTGTGTGTAAAAAACTTAAAGCTTCTGCAAATTTTTTGTCTTGAGCTTTTAGTTCTTTAATTTCTGATTTGATTTTATTAACTTCAGCTTGAAGATCTTGTAAAGTGAGTTCTTTTTTTTTCTTTTTACTGAATCTTTCTATAGCTGTGTTGAAGCTAATAAGTTGCTTACTACTGGAAGCATTCTTACCATCATTTTTTACTAGAAGATCTTTGAGTTTTTTAACATATTTGATTTTTAACTCAGGGTCTTCTATCTTACTGATTAACTCAATGAGAATGTTTTCCTCTTCATTTTCTTTAGTTATTACATTAACTGTCTTACAGAGACAACTATCCTTGCAACCTATCTTAATGTTAGGTTCACTAGGATTGTCAGATGCTGAGAGATACTCAGATTCAGTTTCAGAACTACTATGGGAGTTTGAACCTTCTGTATTTTAATTGTTTAGCCTGAAGATTTTAAGAATTTCTTCTTCTTCTTGTGGGGCTAAATTTAATCTTTTGACCTGTTTTTTAACTGGGCAATTAGGACTAATATGACCTATTTTTCCACAGTTAAAGCATTTAACATCTTTATCTTTTCTAGACTTAGATGTACTAGCATGTTTTCCGGATTTCTTATAAGTTTTATGCTTATAGGGTTTTCTAGAATTTTCATAAAAATTGGGTTTTGCTAAAAGTCTTTTTATTTCTAGAATAATGACTTTTGCTTTATACAATATGGTTTATGGGTTTTGTGTTTTCTGGCAACAGATGGTGCTACTGAAGGAAGACCATATTGTTCACAGAAATTTCTCATTTCATATTTGGCTTTTTTCTTGTCATTGGCAAGTTGCTTACTGAGCTTCATGTCAATACACATCTTAAGTCCTTCCTTTTGGATGGTACTAACAAGATTGTCATAGGTGAGGGAATCATATTCAATTATCCCTGTGTCTTTACTAAGTGCATCCCTAATTTTATGTGCAAAGAGATTTGGGAGGCCATTAACAAATTTTTTTTTCAGAAAGATTTATTGCAATCTGGGCGAAGCATGACTCTAGAGATGAATACATCTTTGTACCATCTAAAGTCACTGAGTGTTGGGCACCTTAGATTACTAAGCTGACCATGGATTCTAGCTTCAATATTACTGGGTGTACCAACAAAATGGTTAATAATGGTATAAATGAGGGTATTGATACCATCAGATTTACCTTTACCAAAGGTTTGATCAAACACTGGCATACCATCATCATCTTTGACAACAGCATACTTGATTTCATCTCTGGTTTCCTGTGTGAGATAATTGTCCCACCAACTACGTAACATACCAGTAAATCCTGAAGTGATAATGTCAACTATCTCAGGTTCATCTTGGTCAAGATTTGTTACGTAACTATTGATAACCATTGACATGTGATTGATCTTATTCAGAATTTCTTGTTCACTTAAATCATCTATGTTCCATTCATAGAGTTTGTTAGCCTGAACAGAAAACTGATTACTAATATTTTTTTCTTCAAATTGAAGATCAGGAGGTGTTGGTCTGGTGTACCAATTTTTACTGATACTGGTTGGATTAACATTTGAAAAAGTCAATTTGTTAATCTGTGTATTACCAAACTGTTCTTCTAATTTATTTACTTCAGAATCAGATGAACTTACTGAGTCCACTTCTTCTGAATTACTAGAAGTTTGGTTGATGACAGTTACTTGAGAAGTGTTTTCTTTCTTTTGAGAAGCTGGTTCTTTCTGCTTCATTTTAGAAATAAGCTTTTCAATTTTCTCAATGTTTTGACTGTCTTTTATGCCTAGTTTACTACGATCTTCAGGTAAATGAATTAGAGGTTTTTCTAATTTATTACCTAGTTTGATCTCATCAATTTTATTTTCAATTTTATCTAACTGTTTACCTATAGTGATTAGGCTTTGTTAGTAAAATTGTTTTGTTCAACAATTTTCTTTTCAGACTCATCTGTGGAGAGTTTGAAAGGAGAGGCAACAACAGTTTTACCATGGTTAATGACAATGGTTTCTGCTGGAGGGTGACTAGACGATACAATGAATTTTTCTGTTTTCCATTTGTATTGGGTAACAACATTAACTCCTTTGTGGAAGTTATCCAAATAATCAAAAAATAAGATTTCAGTTTCTAGCTTATACATTAGCTTAACCCACTGTCTTCTTATTTCGATTTGTTGATTATTGTTGAATCTTTGAAAGTACTTTTGTCTTTTAGATTCATTCTCTACTGATTGAAAATCTTTCTTGAGATTATTCATATCAGGCATGAATAAGGTACTAGTTTCCTTTTTAATCATGAATAACTGGTGGTTATTACTTTGAAGGTCACTAGCAGTAAGAGAGGGATGAAATCTTCTTCATCATCTTCTTCCTTTTTCTGTTGTGGAATACTCTGATGTGGAGTATAGCACGGCTTACTAATTTGTGAAGAGGAATTATCTATTCCTTTTAACTTGAATAGTCTTTGAATTTCCTTATCTATTTCTTGGTCTCTTTTGGAGAGTATAGAACTAGAGTCAGATTTTCTTCCTTCACAAATTTGAATAGGTTTATTTATGAATCTGTTTGATCTAATGGATCTTGCAGAATCAAAGGAGATTCTTACTGAGTCATCCTCTAACTGGTGGATGCTCTCTAAGTCAGTGGTTGTATTTTCACTGCCTTTATCATGGTTTTCATTTTTTACTATCCAAGATTCTGGGAGCGTTACATCCTTCCAGAGGATTTGCTTAGGGGCTTGGATATGTGACTGACTAGTACTGGCTTGAATCAGAGTAGTGCTTCCTAAAGGAATTTTCTGTAATGCATGCACATTCAGGTTTGTGGTAATGCATTTATAATAAATCCTGTAGAGAAGTACTATGGATTCAGTTTCTTTTACCAATTTAGTGATGCTTCCTGTTAGCTTTATTCCTAAGGTTAAAGCTAAGGGAGTATTTTTGCATCCTAAACTTAAGGTAAAGTCAGGGAAAAAATTGAAATAAACTGGTCCTTTATGAAGACCTGTTTCTATGATACCAATAATACTAGGTTCATATTCGAGGAACCTAGCATCTCTTAATGTTAACAAGGCTGCTGAATTTTTTCCTTGTTGAGTTAATGGTTTAATAGCTACTTGTACTAAACCAAAGTGAATAAAGTTAAATCCTTTTTCC